CTACTACTACTACTACTACTACTACTACTACAACAAGAACAACGACTACTACTACCACTTCAGCTACTGCTGTTGCGTTGCTGCTGCTGCTATTACTACTTCTGCTACGACTACTACTACTATTACTACTACTACTACTACTTCAATAAATCTAAAAAGCAGCAAAGGTTTAGGAAAGGTATTAAAAGAGGATCGAAGTCATTTCACTGGGTTACCCTAAACAGCTCGGTTTCTCTTCTCAGAACAGCTAGCTACATGACCAGAGCATCACATAAACCACGACCTCCTTAGCTCCAGCGACAATTCATATTGTTGATTGGTTGGTTAGTTTGATTTAGTTGGTTGACTAACCAGTCGGTTGATTCAATACTTGATTTGTTGAATAGCCTGTTGGCTGGTGATCTACTTTTGTCAAAAGGTTGGTTAGTTGGTTAGCTGGGTGACTAACTGGCTGGGCAGTTCACTGCTTGCTGCTTTGTTGACTAACTGGGTAATTTGATGACTGATTAGTTAACTACCGTTTAGTTGTTTCACTACTTGCTTCTTCAAATAGCTGGTTGATGACTAATTGGTCGGTTGGTTCAATACATGGCAAAGTAGTGGGTTGACAGTTAGCTAGTTTTTTTTATTTGTATTTTTTTTTTTTTTTGGTGTATTCTTTGGAAATACGATTATTAATTCTTCCATTCGAAACATTGACAAGAATGTATTTAAACCCTGACTGACTGACTGACTTTCTACCCCACCAGGACATCACGCAAGCGATAAACACTGAATGACACAAAGTGGCACCATATGGATGAGGATCACCGTGGAGAGGTCCCAGAAACCGCGTTCAGACAATTGGCCATATTTATGGCCTGCCTATATTGCGGCCCCCGGCAAAAGCCAGAGTTGGGCTTCAAATAACAAAAAATTACGTCCTATAAAGGACGTAAGGAATTAATTTAAACCCTGAAAATACCTGGCATTTATGTCAGGGAGCAATCGTTGATACTTTTTTTTCACGATCATTTTCGCATAGATTTGTTGCAAAACCCTAATCTCTAAGTCCAACCTGGCAAGCTAGGACAACAAGACTTCACATGCCTGAAGAAGCATATCCGGGTTAGGGCTGCCGAATTTTTTTGGCAGTAGTACCAAATCTTTTTTGAATTGGTACCAAACACACCAAAAGGACCTAAACTGTTTTTTAACTTAAAAACTGCTATCTATTTTTAAACACACACAAACACACACACACACACACACACACACACACACATATATATATATATATATATATATATATATATATATATATATATATATATATGAAACTGGGTTTTCTTATATGTGAATAGAAATAAAATTCTTTGTCTACGACATCATTACTGTACCCGTTGTCTTCTCGCTCAGTTTGTTACACAACTGTTGTTGCGGCTTTCAACTGATGCAGTCTGTATCTTGGAAAAATACCTTTAACCTCATCAATGCATTTAGTGTTCAAATCTTTAAAAAAAACTGATTAACAAAATAACTCCCATTATTGTTAGGGAGAGGGAGAGAAAACTAAAAATTTAAAACGTAGCAAAATATGGAGCGTGATACCAAAAAAAAAAAGTTTTTTTTATTACAAGATGCCAAAATCCAACCCTAGCCTTTATAAAGGTCTGTTTGTGGTTTTACCTGGCAGTGTTATGTTTTCGTTTGAAAGCACATAGGGCTGGACAATCAGCTAGGGCAAAATAGAGACTGTCCAGCATGCTGTGAGGAGAGCGACGTTATGTAGAGTTTTCTTTTGCTTTTTTAGGCGGTTCGACGTTCATTTCATTGTAGAAGTCAACGCAAAGCGGTCTGCTATCCGGTCGCCTGAAGTTGATTCTAACATTTTAACCCGCTTTGTAAAAAGCAAATAGCGGGGAAATAGATTTTTGTTCATATCATACATTGAACGTCGGTCAATGAAATACAGGGTGTTTTGTAAAGTCGCACTAAACTTTTTGTTTAGAACAAATTTCGAAAACATACATGAAGTCATCAAAAACTTGTACTCTGTGTTCAGTCGTGAAGCAATATATGGCTGTCTTGTGTCGGAATAACTTGCACTCAAAACAGAATGATGGTACTAAAGAATTAAACAACCACAGATACATTTCACAATATGAAAATATGTTTACAGCCGTGTCTTGGAGCCCATGGTGGATATTTCAAATACCTATTTTCATGAATATTTCATTAGTCCTTTCCATCTTTCCTAAAACAGCGTTAGATGATAGCACGATTTTTGTAACTAATTTAATTACTTTGTAAACACATGTTTTGATGTTTGTTTTTTCAGATGTGTTCTGCATACCAAGTGTAGCGATTTACAAACCCTGTATAAATGCGACATCATTTCTCTATCCACAGGTGTCAGTTTGTGTCACAGCCTGGCTGACCGTTGCTGTGTCGATGGATCGATACATCTCTGTCTGCTATCCTTCCACATCAAAGACGTTATGTACGATACCCAAGGCTCGGACGGTGGTGGTATCTGTATTCTTCATCATGATCCTCATATCGATACCTTCAGGATTCCGTTACCGTCTGCAAACGTTCAATGATACACACAACAACGTTACTTGCATGGAACTTGTTGTGACCGAGCTCGGAAGAAACAAGGAATTCATGCTTCCTTACACATGGATCCATAATTTTCTTCGAGGAATCATCCCCGTTTTCATCCTCGTATTCTTAAATGCCAGAATTATTAATGTTCTTCGGAAAGAACGAGTCAAGGGGAAGAAATTCAGTTCTCGAAATCGAATTACTTTAATGCTTATCGCCATGGTTGTTGTTTTCATCGTGTGCATTACACCGGACGCTATCATGTCCACTTTCTTTGGAAAAGGTTATGTCGAGGAAGACTTCCTAGTCAAAGGGATACGTGAGATAACGGACAGCCTTGTGGCCTTGAATTCAGCGATTAATTTCATTCTCTACTGCTCGCTTAGCATCTTGTTCAGAAACACATTCATGCGGGTGTTTTTTGGCAGACGATATGTGAAAATGGGCGGTAATTCTAGCCGACAAGTGAGTAGAGATGGCACAACTACACACTCGTTAAAACGAATCGGGCGTAATTCGGAAAGGAAACGTAAGTCCAGCTGTGAAAAATATCCCCGAAGTAGGCAAAAAAATTCGATTTCTCAAATAGACTTCTGCTATTTTGAAGGTAACTCGGATGAAAATTCGCCTAAGTCAGAGGTCATCACAAACGGATATAATAAAAGCAGTGCAGAAGGAAAGTTATCAAACTTGGTATACGAGGACAACAGCAACAGTGCCCACCTTCCACTGGTTACAGAAAGAAACGCTAATGATTCTAGGATGACGTTTTCTGTTTATACAGGACCAATAGACATGGTCAAATTTCCTTGGGAGACTAATGATTCTAAGGCGCGTGTGAGTGTCTCACAGGAGAGCGCTGAGTCTGAAGGAATACAATTATAGTGGGATTAAAAGCTAGGATAATTGCCGTAATTAAAACAATGGTTGTGAAAGATACCTGCATATGAATAGATGGAAAATATTCACATATTTCTTTAATTTCGGAAACCATCAAAGTATTACCGAGGTTCGCGAAACAGTGTGTTAATTAACATGTTATTATTTTCGATTTACATGCGTTTTACACTCTATCAATTATTGTAAAGATTTAACGTAATTATTATATTGCTTCAACTTATCATTCAATTTTTGAAATACAACTGATCCCAGTGAAGTGGTTAATTCATGCGCCTTAAATACATGTAGAGTTATCAGACGAGGAAATTGTGGTGGCTGCAACGTTACGACCCATACAAGGCTGTGAGATATATCCAGCTTTGTAATATATCTATGACATATTGAAGGATATTGTATGGTTTTATCGATCAATCAGATTGCTCCCTTCGGGCTAATACCTAACGATTTACCATACAATCCTAGGATTTTTTTAAACAATATGTTTTGAAGGAAAACTAACAAGGCAGATCCCGGATACCCGGTTCAACCTGCGTTACATGAAAAGATCTGGATCCTTAATTCTGATAGTTTGGAGCTCAGATTCTCTTAAGATGACCCTCATACATTAACCTGAGGCTGGTTTTAAAACGGCTCTCGTTTATCAGACTTAGACTCGTATGAGGTTGAGGATGGTGTGAGTTTGGAGCTGGTAAGAGGTTGAGGTTGAGGCTGGCCTGAGGTTAAGGCTGGTTTTAAAACAGCTCTCGTTTATGATACAGACTCTTATGAGGCCAAGGCTGGTATGAGGTTAAGGTTGGTTTGAGGTTGATGTTGGTATAAGATTGAAGCTGGAATAGGACTGAGGCTGGTATGAGGATGAGGCTAGTTTGAGACTGAGGCTGGTATGAGGATGAGGCTAGTTTGAGACTGAAGCTAGTATGAGGATGAGGCTAGTTTGAGACTTAGTTGATATGAGACTGAGGCTGGTATGAAGTTGAGGCTGGTATGAGAATGAGGCTTGTAATCGATTGAGGCTAGTATGAAACTGAGGCTGGTATGAGACTGAGGCTTGTTTGAGACTAAGGCTGGTATGAGACTGAGATAGATATGAGACTGAGGCTGGTGTGAGACTGAGGCCAATATGAGACTAAGGCTGGTATGAGACTGAGGCCGATATGAGACTAAGGCTGGTATGAGACTGAGGCTGGTATGAGACTGAGATAGATATGAGACTGAGGCTGATACGATGTTGCGGCTGGTATGAGACAGGCTGATATAAGGTTGCGGCTGGTATGAGGTTGCGGCTTGTATGAGGATTCGGCTGGTATGAGGTTGGGGCTGATATCAGGTTGCGGCTGGTTTACTGGCTTCTACCGACATGGTACAGGAATGCAAACCCCACAAGGACTTTGATCCGCTCTCCAAACCCAGAAATTTGCCATGTGTGCAAAATCTTCAGTGGAACATCACAGATGAGGAGAGATAAGTTGTAATTACGGATGTGTCTGCATGAGCGTTAAACCATAAAATCCAACGAAAACCAAGCAATGGAACATTTATGTAATATCAGCCTGCTTATATGTGTCCATTCAACCAAGCGGACGGTTCATATGGCGATGTTGATCATGATGATAATGGCGATGTTGATCATAATGATAATGACGATGATTTTGATGATGGTCCTGATGATGTTATGGATGATAATAATGATGATGATGGTAGTGATACTGGTGGTGGTAGGGATGATAATAATGATGAAGAGGAGGATGCCCATGATGAAGATGATGGTGATGATCTTTATTAAGGCTGTGTCGACATGGGAGTCTTTGTCATTGTTTGAAAAATGCCGAGCACTGTTGGGATTTGAATCCACGACCTTCGCATTGGAAGGCGAGCGTCTTGTGGCTGCGTCGCACGATAGTGTCCCCACCTGTTATTTACTTAAAATAAGCCTTGTAAACATTTCAGATTGGGTCTAACTGAGAGAATGTGTTAATTAAAACACTATCTCCCATCATTGGGGATTTGAACACATGATCCCTGAATGGGCAGGTAATCGTGCCAGCCACTGGGTTAAAACAGCTTCTCTGTTTTATTTATTGCACTAGATAACGTTCTGAATCCTGCCCCAAAATCTTTCAATTTGTACAGTTGTTGTCAAATCGTATTCTCTCCAATCTCTCACTTGTTTGCCTTTGATTTGTTCGTCTTTTGAATCATTTGTTTCTTATACTGTAGTCTTCTTCTTCTTCTTCTCTTCCACCTTGTACCTCATCAAAGTGTCGGGGGAGATGTAATGTTTGTTGATGAGGTCTGTCAAGAGCACTATTAGGACTGATGTTTATTTCTGTAAGGCTGTTCTTAATGCCATCACTCCATATTTTCCGAGGTCTTCCACTCGCTCTATACCCGTTGTAACGTTTTAGCGTGGCGGATAGTACTAGGGCATTCTTGTTAGGTGTCCAAAACACGTCATTTATTGTTCTTTGATGACATGTGAGACTGGCTTTATTCCTAGCATTCGTCTGATTTCACGACTTCGTATTCTGTCTTTCCTTATACTGTAGTAAGCTTGTATTTTTGTTGTTTCTTCTTCGGCTCTTTCTCCCCCTCCTCATACTCATCGTCGACCACTGTCTTCTTATTCCTCTTTATCTTCTTTTTTTTCTGCATCTTTATTTACATCTTCTTCCTTTCCTATCATTTCTCTTCTTTTACTCCCCCCCCCTTTCTCTCTCTCTCTCTCTCTCTCTCTCTCTCTCTCTCTCTCTCTCTCTCTTCTCTCTCTCTCTCTCTCTCACCCGCCCTAACTCTCGCTCACTCTCGCTTTCCCTTTTTGCCCTCTACCTCCTTCTTTTTTAAAATTGTTTCAGTTTTCTCTTTTAATTTCCAGATTCAATAGGGCTTCAGTACGTCGTGTGTGTGTGTGTGTGTGTGTGTGTGTGTGTGTGTGTGTGTGTATACAAGTGTCTGTGTTTTTCAACAAAATGCGGCATAGTTTTCATATCTACACATTTCTACGTCTTCAGTTTCATTTTCTGATAACATTTTCATCGATCATTCTATTGTTGCAGTCTGGATATGTATATGTTCTTTTATTATTCTCATTGTAAGACTTTTTTTCTCTATCTAAATGCGGATGTCATTTTCATATTGTTGGTTATATTTTGGCTATTCATTAACCTATCATCATTTCATTTTTTTTTTTTTTTTTTCTATTTCCTTCATGTGATACTATTTATCAAAGACAAAATGAGCTATACCACTTGTTCTGATAGCTCTTCGGTGTTCTTTACAGCCTTCTGCATTGTAGATATTCTAATAAGTTTATATAGTCTAGTCAAAATCCCACAACAGCCAAGATTCTTACACTGTGCGCTAATGACCGTAGAGTTACATCTGCTGACAAGGGCCGATTAACAGTCCGCCAAAGTGCTCGCTCTGTTGTAAAGTTGCTCCAGTGAAGCCAAAAGAAAAAGTCGAATACTTAATATTGCAACTCTTCGTCTCATAGAAATAACACTCTAGTCACGTATTCCAAATGCTCTAACTGCTAACCAGGATGTTTCGCATAGGCTAAGAATTCAGATTTTATGATATCGTAACTAATAAATGAGGGGAGAGGAGAGCTGGCAAGAAACCTAGTTTATTTTTTTTTTTTTTTTTTTTGACAGGCATACTGTGATAAGAGCGACGTTCTGCAAAGGACCTGGAACATAATGATTACCTAATAAATACAATACCATCTACATCTCTGTTTGCTTCTGTCAGCTGGTCTGCGAAACATGGCTTACTTTATTATATTATTACTTATGTAGTTGAAAGTTGAAGGTAGAATTCGAGAGGATCAACTTCATTACATATGGTTTTATCCCATATTGTTCCCTTCTCCCATTATCCATATTTTCAAAAGACGGATACATTAAAAAGATTTCTGAGGTTAGCTGCGGTACTTAAAAAGGGTAGGGCATCAGGGCATTATATTTTTTAGGGGTGCATCAAGCCCAATTCCGACTTTAGGCTGAGTTCCTATGCTCCCGCGCGCCTGATCCTAAAGTCAATAGCCCAGTTTCTGTTAATGAAATTCCTAATTCAAAGAGCACCGCAAAACGTCTAGCCGCCTGCCAATGAAGTCGCACAAAGCACAGTCACCGCTGTTCAGGGGACGATCCGTATGGTTTTCCTTAAGAATTACACCAGTGGACCGAACAACTTACGCATGAATCGAATCCAGGGTCTTCAGAGCACAAGGCTTGACCGCTTCGCCACGGTGCCCAGAGACTCATTTAGTATAGAAGAGAATCAACATTTGAAAAAAAAAACGTAATTCACTGATGCATGGACCTCTTGAAGCTTTCATGGTCCAATTTGGAGTGAAGAGGGGAGGGGTTTATAGATCTACCCCCCCCCCCCCTTTTTTTTTCATCTCGAAGCAACCTGTTATTATGTGTTGATATAATAGGCATACTTTTTGTTTCTGGTAAATGTTGTTTCAGTATTGCCCTCCTTCTAGTGCTTTCCATTACGTAACACTAAGTAAATTAAGCATGGCTTTTTGTCACCCTAGATGGATATCTAAACAGATTGAGCAGCTTTCACCAAAGTCGATGAAATCAATTCGGAGGGGACTCCATCAGAACAGTTAGAAATGTAGTTAAGAGTGATTCGTTTAGCTACGGTACTAGACCTCGGATGACATTTCGATTGTTGCTTTTGATTTTATGTCAAGTGCTTTACTTCACTGTTAGATCTTTTTCCTATTTGTCCCCCTTAACGACGTTGATGGAAATGTTTGTTTGGCGTTTGTGTCCCCCCCCCCCCCCCCCCACCCCACCCCCACCCCCACCTTTTTTTCTACCGAAGTTACTTTCTAGGTGCTTTTTATTTTGTCTTCACTGAATTGTTTAATGGCCCCGTGTTTTGACGCTTGTTTTTCTGCTTAAACTTTTTTTTTAATCGCACACGCACCGACAAATGGTTTTATAATTGAAACTGACTTCAAGGTT